CTTTTTTTATTATGAATATTTAGTTACTCCATATTTTTGTTTATGTATGTCTGAGGCTCCTTAGCCCACATTTATGTTTTTCTGTATTATTATAAAGGGACTCATCCCAAAATAAATAAAAATATTATTATTTAAAAGGTTCCCTCAAACTCTATTGGGACAAACCAATTATTACGGACCATATTGTGCATCATAACGGACCATATATCCTATAGATATACGAGCAAAAAAAAGCAAAATTTATTGATATCGGGATCCTCAACGATAAGAATATGAACTCCGCTCTGGGAAAAAATACCAGGAACTGGCTATTGAATTGATTGAATTATTTCGTTTTGAAAGCTCCACTGCCACTCCAATTATAATATCCATCAATCTGCTGATACAAAAAGTTAACACTGGCAGGCAGGGATGGTTTAAAATTATATATTGATTGACCAAACAGAGGCTCAACAGTCAGTTCACTTAGACACAGCACGCTTTGTCTGCATTGTTTTAAATAGTTGAAAAAAATAATACGAAGTTGGCTAGACTTCTAGTCTTCTACCTCAGATTCTCTTTTCGCAATAGTGAGAAAAAACAGGAAATAAAACCAAATGAAAAAAAAAAAAAATAATATTAAGCTTGAAAAAATATCCTAAGATATCTCTTAAATAATTAAAAGAAGGGGATTTTTTTTTGTAAAAGATATATGTTTTAATTACACTGGTTAAATATTTTATTTTAACCTACTTTGCTTATGAATGGATTTTCGTATTAAAGTTAACAAAATGTAATCAATTCTTACTTTAAAATTTAAGTAACCTTCCACCTTACAGTAATTATATACTCTAGCATCAACGTCTTCTAACGACTTTTTTCAATATTTCATGAGATAGCAGAAGTTAGACTAGAATAGAATTAAGAAACTGCTAGACTGCTATCGAGGGGCTGAATATGGAAAGTGTGGTTTCAGACCTTCCCAATCCTACACCGATGAATTATTCAAAGGTACGAAATTCTAAATAGAAAATCTCCATCCGTGCCTCGTTTGCTGTTCGTTCGAGCAGTAAATGTGTGGTAAATTAATTAATTCTCAATTAACCCTAGATACATTCCTCAGAAAGTTCTTTAGCAATAGACATTCGCAAGTAGGTTGAAAGGATCGCTGTAAGTTTGAAATTTATTTTAAGTCTTTAAATTATCAATCATGTTATTATATAGACTATTTCAATATTCATTTATTATTATAATTATATGTTTATATTATTTTAAATTAATATAATAATTAAAGATTACGAATTTATTTACCATAAACATTATGTGTTTAAAACCAAGAAAGAAACCAGTAAATAACTATTTTCTGTTTGTAATATATTTTCGAAACAATTTCCCGTAAAGATAGAGCCAGAATACTAATAATGATACATTAAAGCAGCAATTTACTTACTATGACTAAAGGGATATGGTATAAAAATATTTTTGATTATCCTGGGAATGTTGTCATTTTAGAACAAATTATAGATACAGAAAAAATGCCTGTAAGGCCATACATTAAATTAAATATTTACCAAGTAATATCTCATTAAAATTTAAATGTAGGAAGAAAAAATAAACACTTGATTTTTCCATGTTTTCATCTAAAAATATTCCGAGGTTATCCCATAAATGCTCAATGGGGTTCAAATCTGGAGAACCCCCGTGCTGGCCAGGCTAAAACCTCACTATTGTTGAAGGAACGTCTGCACTATGCGGGCGACATGTGGGCGTGCATTAGAATAGATCGATCGCCGATTTCGTTGAGGTTCCAAAATCTCAGCCCACACCATCAAGGAACCACGTTGGAAAAATTGGCTGTGGGAAAAATTACAGGCTGAATATCTTCGTTTCTTCTTCTCCACACCCTTTCACGCCCGTCTGGAGATCGAAGAGCGAATCTTGACTCATCTGTAAAAAGTACAGCACTCCATTCGTCCATAGTCCAATGGCTGTGTTCTCAAGCAAAAGCCGTGTTACTCTGTGAGTTCTGGTCAACTCTGGTAATCTTACTGGACGAAAAGCCATTAATCCATACTCATTTAATCTTCTCCGAGCGGTATGTTCAAAAATTATATATATAATAAACATGGGAAAATAAAATAACATAAGTAAACAAAATAATTTCTGGAGGAAATTAAAAAGTTCATTTCGTTATCAATTGGGTTGGAAAAGGAGTAGGTGCTTAAAAATGAGAAATTTAAATGAGGAAACTGATTTTGCATGTTATTATTATGGGACTGTAGTCCCTTTAGGACAAATTATAGATACAGAAAAAATACCTGTGTGGCCATACATTCAATTAAATATTTACAAATACCATTAAATTTAAAATATTGGAAGAACAAAACTAAATTAAAAAAAAACACTGAAAATGTACAGATATATTAAAAACAAATATGAGAAAATAAAATAACATAAGTGAACATAATCATTTCTGGGGAAACTTAAAAAATTCTCTTATCTACAATTCGTGATCAATCGGGTTGGGAAAGGAGATCCTGCGATACGGCCATATACTTATAGGATTTCGGAAGAATATGGCTCGGGAAGAAAAAAATGGGACCGAGGTATTGTAGGAAATTTGGATAAGATTATAGGAAGACAGAAACGGAACTGCGTGCTAAGATACAGCTAGGAGTTTATCTAGGAAATCCAAGATAAACAGATCAAGCAAGGACTATGAGAACTGGGTATGATGGCCAGAGTTGTGGGGTATTATATAAAGGCCGAGGGATTGGAAGAGGCTGATTAGGTAGGAATGGTCAGAGGATGGTATCAATAAATTGGTATTGAGGTCTCCGGAGAGAATAATATTGGATTAAGAAAGTCTCAAATAATTCATCAAAGGGAATTCTAGGATGGCGATAAATTACTGCAAAGAGAAAAGGGGTGATGGTGTCAGGATTTCAGTAAAAATATATTTTAGGTTTGGAGAATCGGTATGGGAAGAGCAATGGAAGTTTTGAATTGAAGGCTGTCATGGACAAAGAGACCTACACGACTACCTGAACGATCCACTCTATCATGACGAAGGGAGGTATAATTGGGTAAAGTAATTTGAGATGACGGAATAGAGGAATTTAACCAGGTTTCAGAAGCTTCAATTAAAAAACTGTAATAGTAGAAGTTGTCAAGAAAAAGATGATAAAATTCATCAAAATGGACTAGGAGTGACTGAGCGTTGACGTGGCAGGATAATGGGATATTAGTCATGGGAGAAGGAGGGTTGGCTTGGTAAACGGACTGGAAGGGCTTGGGGGGTTAACTGCGCCTGTGGAGTTAGTTAACTAAACTTCATTGCCGGTCCCAAGCCCGGATAAAGCAGGAGGGTTAAAGGGGACTGACTACCCATCTTTTATAAAAAAAAAACACAGGTTACTTATTCTCAATAGTCTAGCCTCGGATTTCGAACGGATTTATGTAAACGACCTGGAACTCGTCATATGGCTTATAAAGTTGGAACATGGAAAGTAAGATCACTCTATAGACCTGGAGCATGGACGGAAGGGGGAGGGAGAGAGGGAGAGAGGGAGAGAGAGGGAGAGGGAGAGGGAGAGGGAGAGTGTGTATCTTTTTTTCACTGGTTAATATATTTTACTTATTTAATATTGGAAATTTAGCTAAATTGGAGTGTGTCTATTGTTTTTAGTTATTGTTATTTCCACAAATTTTATTATTAGATATAACCTTAATATAATTGACTTTACTTACACATATTTAGATTAATAAGTTCAGCTATACTATATAATTATACTTATAACCCATTTTATTTTTAACTTCGATTGATTGAAATTTTCACTAGAGTAGTTTTATTCATCACTTTAATATTTAAGATCTCTAGTTCTCAACTTAACCTACTGCAAGTTGCTTCATTTGGTGCTTCTATTATATTTCCTCTAGAAGATTACCTTGCACCATTTCCCCTATTATTACTGCAAGAAGTACAGAAATGGAGGAAGGTGAAAAACAAACTCCTTTTCAATCAGGTAAAAAGCTGAATGTATCTCCAGCACCCAATAGAGCAATAGTAAATAAAGGAGCACTGACAAGTGGCGGGGAGAGCAGCGAGATAGGAAAAGCCAAAGAGACATCACACAGGCAGCCTAGTTCTTTGAATAGTTACAGCCAATGCAGCCGTGACGTCACCGAATCTTGTCACGATACTTCGCAGCAAACAATTACATCACCTGATCGGAAACATACGTGTCATGAGGCTATCGCAGAGAAGAATTTAAGGTGTAAGAACTTAAATGAAGAAAACAGCCGAATAATATTAAAACTACAGGAATTTTTACTGACTGCCCAAGCAAAACAAATAAGCAAGACAGCAGTTGAGACGGTTCTTGCTGCGGCACGTAAACTGGAGGATAACTGTAATAAGCTCATAATTGAAAATGCAGAATTAAACGGTGAAATAAGAGTATTAAGAAACCAAGCCTTCTGCCCTACACCTGTTACTTTCGAAACACATGGTCTAGAGACATTAAAGCTGGTAATGAAGGACATAATAAAGGAGGAGGTTAAGCCTCTCGTCACTGAAAAGGTCGATACAACGAAAAAACAATCTTATGCCTCTACATTAGTAGGGAAAATACAGTAAACTCCTATTGAACCTCCGAGTTCAGTGTACATAGCCCAGACAGACCAAAGTAGGGAAAAATATCCCACTGTACAGGAATTGAAACAGGGGATAAAGAAAAGTTTCACGCCTGCTAAAGAAGGAATAAAAATTAGAGGACTGGTAGAAACAACAAGGGGTATAATAATTAGGACTCAAACAAAAGAAGAAGTTAAGAACTCGGCGCTAAAGTAAACTTGGAGAATAAACGCCTTCCAAGAATAATTATATATGATGACCCAAGTGACCTGGAGCATGAAAAGATTGTCGAACTGTTCTGGACCATAAATGCAAAAAAAATAGATCCTAATAAGCAGCACTTCAGCCTTGTTTTCAAGACTGGTCCAAGAGGAAGAGATACAGTTCATTGGGTGGCGGAAGTGTCCCCGGCGGTAAGAAATGAAATATTGGCAGAGGGAAGAGTTTTCCTGAATTGGTCATCCTGCGATGTGAGAGACTGGGTAGCAGTGACACGATGCAATAAATGCCAGGGTTTTTCACATATAGAAAAAATCTGCCCCGCTACTGTCGTAAACTGCGAGTACTGTAGCGAAAGAGGACATGTTTCAGGAGACTGCCCAAAACAAAAGACCGGCGGACCGCCGAAATGCATAAACTGCAGTAAAACCAACTCAGCATCTAACCATCCGACAAATGACAAAGACTGCCCATCATACAGAAGAGCGATTGAAAGGTTAGTAATGAGGACAAAATATAACGACAATGAATAATAATTCTGCCCTCCGGATAGCCCAACACAATCTAAACAAGAGACCGCTCGCAATGTCAGAATTTAGACGCATGGCCTCACTAAATAACATAGATATTGGTGCTCTTCAGGAACCTCCTACTAGGAGAGGGAAGGTGTCTGGAACTGAACAGCAAAGACCGCACCATTGCTAGCAATGGAAGTGGGTTACACGATGCACCACAGAGCGCCGTGGTGGTGTTTAATCATTGCCTTACAATTACATCACAGCCTGATCTGGAAGATAGATTTATTTCAGTTGCCAATGTAGATTACGTAGGCATTAACTTTGACTTGATCAATGTTTATGCAAAATTTGCACTCCCACTGGAAGACATACTGACAAAATTGCAGCTGGTAGTACGGAAGCTGAGTAAGAACATCTTAATAATGGGCGATTTTAATGCTCACTCAATTTTGTGGGACAGCCGAAGAACTGATAGAAAAAGCGCACTGCTGGAGGATTTTGCTGCAAGGAATGGCCTAACCATTGTAAATGATCCCATGGCCTTGCCAACGTTTTCGGGATCCAGCGGAGAATCATTTATCGATATAACTCTGGCATTGGCCAGCTTATTAGCTTTTGGAAAGTCGAGGATTGGACCTGCAGTGATCACCGGGTGGTTTTATTTGAAATAAACCTAAACAATCAAGAAAAGCGATACCATAAGGAACGTTTTGTGACGGTGCTGGGAGGGTGCTGAGTGGGAACGTGTTGCTGAGAATATTGCATGGCACCTAACAGAGCTGGAGCAACACCATCATATGGAATTAGAAAAAGTGGCAGCGATAATCTCAACAAAAATTTTTACAGCGGTTAAGGAGGTGTTGCCCATAACACGAGAGTCAACAAGAAAGGGACAAGTATGGTGGAACACACAACTCACAAGCCTGAAGCGGGAGACCAACAGAGCAAGACGCCGATTTCAGCGAGAAAACGATGCTGTTACCAAAAGAAATTTCAAAAAAGCATATTAAGAACTTAATAAGAGTTTCCAAAAGGCAATAGGAAAAGCAAAGAAAGAGACATGGCACCGATACCTAGACCAATGCAAAAGCCCTTGGGGACTAGCCTATCGGAGAGCACTTGATAAAATCTCAAATAGAAACTCCTTCACATCGTTTATGCACAATGGGGATATGCAACCAGAACGGCAGATGAGGCCGTTAATGCTATAATGGTGAGATCTTTCCCTGAAGACGAACTAACTTCAGACACAGAAGACCATGCACACAAAAGAATTGCAATGTGTGAACTTCCGCAAACCGAAGATGCGCTTCCATGGGAAGAGGAAGACGTGGGGTTGGCTATGGGACAACTCCGATAGGGAAAGGCACCAGGACCGGATATGATAGGAGCCGATATCCTTAGAAATACAAAAAACGCACTGATTAAGCCTTTAACTACGTTCTACAACCGATGCTTGAATAAAGGCATTTTACCCTGTATTTGGAAACAGGCTGAGCTGGTTACTATCTTGAAGCCAGGTATAACAGAAGTCACTGCTAAATCTTACCTCCTAATATGCCTCCTTGTGGTAGATGTGGTCTCCTCTGCATTGGAGCGCGGAATGTACTGCACGGGAATCTTTCTCGACGTTGAACAGGCGTTTGATAGAGTCTGGCATCCGGGACTGATGTACAAACTCCGGGAATTCCTACCACCTACATACTTCCTCATTATCCGTTCCTACCTTACTGACAGATACTTCAAAGTCAATCATAACAATGCTTATTCATCTCTTTTTACTCAGTCTGCCGGTGTTCCTCAAGGTAGTATCCTAGGTCCTATCCTTTACACAGTTTATACAGCTACATCCCAACCCAATCCAACACTGTCATCACCACATATGCCGATGACACGTGTATCCTATCAGTTAATAACGATCCTTTAATTGCATCCCAAACTCTTCAATCACATATCACAAGCCTTGAAGAATGGTGTAAAAATTGGAGAATAAAAATAAATTCCAACAAATCCCATCAAATCACCTTTACCCTCCGTCGTAAACCTATGACCTCTTGTCCTACAGTATCCTTCAATAATACTCCACTTATTCCTGTTGAGCAAATCCGCTACTTAGGACTCCACCTTGACAAACGACTCACTTGGAACCCCCATACCAGACTGAAACGACTAGAAACCGCCCGACGTTTTCGACTACTGCAGCACTTACTAGACAAACGATCTAAGCTTTCAATCAATTATAAACGACTGGTATATATGACAATAATTAGACCAATTTGGACTTACGGAATTGAGCTTTGGGGCTCCACTAAACCATCGAATTCCTCTCGTATCCAATCCTTACAATCCAAAATCCTTCGTAAAATCCTCAACGCTCCTTACTTTGTCACAAATAAAATCATCCATAAAGACCTTAATGTTCCATATGTTTCCGATCTGGCCCAATCCAGATACCTTTCCTTCCATAACAAACTGCAGAACCATCCGAATCCTCTCGTTTCAAACCTTGCTTCCTCCTCGATCCCTGATAACCCTCCGAGGCGTCTGAAAAGAAGATGGCCTCGGGATCTTCTAATATAGAACTTTAATTTGAGTTCTACCAATGGGTAGTTTCTCTTCATGTTGCACATGCCATGTTACAAATTTCTCATTTACTTATTGTATTCTCTATGTAATACAGATGTAAATTCCATTAAAATAAAAAAAAAAGAAAAAAAAAAAAAAAAATATGCCTCCTAAATGGAATGGGAAAAGTTCTGGAAAGCCTAATGCTGCAACGCCTGAAATACGTAATCGACTTGCTCTCTCCTGTTTAATTCGGAGGTCGAAAAGGACAGTCAACAACGGATACCATCAACCAGCTCATATCAACAGCTAAGGACTCGCCCTTTAAATATTTTGTAGCCCTCTTCTATGATGTTGCTGGCGCTTTCGATAATATGTGGTGGCCTGCCATTATGGACGAACTAAAGAAACTAAAATGCCCCAGAAATATATACAGGCTCATATTATCATTTTTATCGAAGCGCTCTATCTACTATCAACTTTCGGGAAGGAGAATAACGAGGCCAGTCCAGAGGGATTATGCTCAGGGATCAGTTTTGGGACTCCCCCTATGGAATATCAACATGAACCCTCTCCTTGTTAAATTGAGAGCTGCCGGGTATACGCCATCTGCTTACGTGGACGACTTGGAATAGAGAATCTGCTGTTGGAATAGAGACAAAATCACGACAAGATTTGGAAATAAGGGCAGCGGAAGTCACTGACATAGTCTTGCAATGGTGCCAGGAAAATAAGACTCGACTCCTGTTTTTGAAGGGAAAAATGATAGGGTTTCTCCCCAGAGTAAAGTTAGGAGATGTCCTAATAAAACCATCTCAGGAAGTGAAGTTCTTAGGAGTCCTATTGGGCGAGAGGTGTAACTTCACTAACCACCTAAAAGAAATTAAGAGCAAAACTATTGTTCGTTACAGTTGACTTAGCACGATGACAGGGACCACCTGGGGTCTCAAATATAGTTACCGGGAAACGCTATATAAGGCTTCTTTCTTGCATATTGCATTATATGCGGCGCCGGTCTGGGGCCAGAAACTGAGACAGTCAGACATCAGTGTGCTGGAGCAAGCTCAAAGATTTCTCCTACTGGTGACAGGAGCGCATAGAACGGCACCCACTTCGGCTTTGCAAGTGATTACAGGACAATTGCCTATAGACCTGAAAATACAAATATCTATAGCCAAATATAGAATAAAGAGATGAGTGCCAGTAAATGTGGGAACAAGCTGTTTTGTGTGCCCTAGTGGAAGGCACGACGAGGTAGCCGACAGAATAGAAGAACTAGTCCTTTCTGAATGGCAGAGAAGGTGGGATGCATGCGAGACTGGAAGACTGACCCATGAGTTCTTCCCAGATGTCAGGAGAAGAATCAAGAATGACTGGGTGAAGACGGATTTCTGGACTGTTCAACTCCTCACAGGCCATGGAGATATAAATGAAAAATTACATTTTTTTCATAGAAGAGCCAGTCCGAATTGTCACTGCGGGGCTGTTGAGGATGCTAGACACATGATTATGGAACGTCCAATGTATACTGACGCCCGACAAGCATTGGCAGGAGAGTACTCCATGTTGGAATGGCCTCCTCGGTCCCTGGACAAGCTTGTGGAGACACCTGAAGTATTTGATGCCTTTAAGAAATACGCCAGGAGGATAATCCATGAAAAAATAGCAAGAGAGGAAAGATTAAACAGGTGATATACCAAATACATAAATTTATTGCTATCACAAGATTTAGAAACAGTATATATAAACTTAGTAATAGGCCCACAATAAGTAGGTAGGAAGTTACTGGAGTCCTCTTATGTGGGAACAGCACTCCAGTTGCAGGCAGACCATTAGTGTAGGTTTACCCGTAATAATTAATGCCCCAATCAAACTAAAAGACCGAATTTTTGCCTCACTTGACCCAAGAATTTGGATCAAAGTGAGAGCAGACCTGCCCGCTTGGTTACCAATCCTGGTAACCGAGCCCTTAAATTCGTGGCATATTTTTCAGTTAGAAAATTGGATGTACCGCTGGTATAGGGTTGCCCTAAGGTACAGCGGGGGGAAAGAACGAAAAAAAGAGAGAGAGAGAGAGGTCATTATAGTTAAGTGTATTTTTCTTTTAACAGTATTAGTATTCACTGTGATTAGTGTAATATATTCACTTTTATCTACTTAAAGAAAGTGTCGTGAATCCAATTGAGTTCTAGAAGCTACGTGAGTGTAAACGTCTACTAATTCTTACAGCATTAGACAACACTGTTTACTGCTTTCATCAAAACAACTCTCTCCCTGTATTTATTTATATCTTAATTGTACTATTTTAATTAAATATGGTGCAGTGCAATAT